ACCCTAAGCAGTGTCCATAATAGTGCGGTTCATAATTCATTCTACTATAAAAGGTAGAATAGATATTCCGAAAGTAATTTTAAAATTTATTTATTTTCTCACTTTTTTAATTTTTTCAAAACTTTTTATGTTTTAGATTTTTATTTTTCTATTTTTTTAAATTTTAAAATTTTTTCTAATGTTTTAAATTTTTTACTTTTTTCAAAGTTTTTTGATTTTTTAATTTTTCCAGATTTTTATTTTTTAGATTTTTATTTTTTTATTTTTCTAAAGATTGAATTTTTTTTCTTAATTATTTTAATTTCATTAATTTTTCTATTTTTTTAAATTTTTAAAATTTTTTTGTTAGTAATTTTTTTTGATTGTTTAAATTCTTGTTTTAATTTTTTATAAAATTTTTTTTAATTTTGTAGTTTTTCTCAGTCTTTATTTTTTCGTGCTTAAAAATTTTTTTTTTGAATTCACAATAAACATATTAATAAAATGGAAAACTCATCTATGTCATCTCTTTTAGAAATTGCGACGCAGTTACGCGTAACTGCAATTTTGTCATCGCAGTTGCGCGTAACTGCATCGTAGTTTGACCGTAATCAAACATATGGTTCTTGTCATAAAAAAGATGGTACACTTGATCGAATAAATTACATCTCATAAATTTCGATTGACGAAATCAAAAATTGAAAAAGTATTTTTCCGATAAAAATCGTATCTATTATAATAAAATAAAACAGATACAATATTTTTTTCTTTAGGTGCATATTTCTTTATATTGAAACGTAATCGTGATTTTTACAGGGTTGTCAAAAATGTTTTGCCCGAGGGCGTGCAACTCCAACGATAAATCATATCAACATTAAATTTTATACCAAATGAAAGCTCGTCAAAACGGAGTTTAGCAGTATGAATAGTATTTGATAGAAGGAAAATGAGCTAGAGGATTGTCGAAAGTTCTAAAATTTCAGGCATGTACTTGCGAATTCAACTGCAGTTAACCACTTCAAACAAAAGTTTTGCAAAAGTTTTCGTCTATCAGACTTTGTAGAGTTCGCTTCACCGATCATTTTGACAAAAAAAGACTTCTTAAATTCGACAAATTAATGGGGATGCTATGGTCCAAACACTGAAACCCTGTAACAGCTCTGCCTCCTAGAGCATGCCTGTTTTTTAGTATTTTGACCATAGCATCACCAGTATTTTGTTGAATTTAAAAAGTCTTTGTCAAAATGATCGATGAAGCGAACTCTACAAAGTCTGATAGACGAAAAATTTTGCGAGACTTTTTTGTGTATAGTGGTTAACTATATGTAAATCGTCAAGTATACGGCCGAAATTTTGGAACTCTCGGCAATTCTCTAATGCATTTTCATTCTATCAATTACCATTCATACTGCTAAACTCCGCTTTCGACGAGCATTCATTTGGTATAAAATTTAATGTTGATATCATTTGTCGTTGGAGCTGCAGCCCTCGGGCAAAATATTTTTGACAACTATATAGTCGAAAAAATACATAATTTAGTCATATCGTCTCATTATTTTCACAAGAAAATGCATGCGAGAGAACATAGGACCGAAACTGGATAGAGAAAAGAAAAAAAAACAGGACAGTGGACGATGGCGTCTTTTTCTATCGTATCTTTCACTTAAAATTTTGTACATATACAGTGTTACTCGTGACTAATCAATGTGTTTTACGTACTGTCTATTAATTAAGTCACGTTTGTTTCCTTGGTTTTTTCCAATCTAAGTTTTATTTATCAATCGTAATATTTTTCTACAAATCATTTATATTGTGCATAAATATTGCTGACATATACGTGACGTAGTCTTCGAGGCTAGCCTATAATTATTATTTACCAAAAACTATCTATGTCTACTGACAAATCTGTTGATAACAATTCAACAATTCAATCAGAAAATAATGCTAGTAGACGAGTACTGTCTTGTACGAAAGTTTTCTTCAAACAATTGATTGCACGTAAACCAATGGACATATTACAAGCTGAAATTGATACACGAAATGAATTGAGACGTGATCTAAATTGGATTCAATTACTTGCTATAGGTCTTGGTGCTACTATTGGTGAGCGAGATTAAAAACAATATATGCGGTAAGAGTTTTGAATCTTTTTTTAGGTGCCGGGATATTTGTATTCAGTGGACAAGCTGCTGCAAAATATTCTGGTCCATCAGTCATCATTTCGTTTCTTATAACAGGCATTATTACTTTTTTGTCGTCTTTATCGTATGCAGAATTAGGAGCAATGATGCCTATTTCGGGATCAGCTTACACGTATGCTTATGCTGGTGAGTTACTGATGGCATGCCTATTTTGCTTTCATGATCGTTTTGTTTTTATTGTTTTAGCTTTGGGAGGTACACAATGAAAAGTATCATTATAAAAGATTCATTTTTTCCTATTCATTGTAGAATATTTGGCATGGTTCATTGGTTGGAATTCTGCACTACTTTATTTATTCGGTTTTTTGACAGTGACAGTTACTTGGAGCAGGCAAGTTGTTCTATTGGTTTGGTATTGTGTCTGATTGTAATATAACAAACATGATTGTCAAAGCACCAGAGAATTGAAACGAAGATGCTCAGCGTTTTTTTGTCACTGGTCAAGCGATTGATTTGCCTGTTATTGCAATTACTTTTGTAATTACAATTTTTCTTATTATTCGAATTCCTCAAACGGCTATAGCCAATCTGATGTTGGTTGTGATCAAAATTATAATAATTTTAGTATTCATTTTTGCCTGTTGTAATTATGTGAATCGCGATAATTATTATCCATTTTTTCCACCTAATAAAGGTATATGATTGTCTGTTTAATATATTTAAGACATCAATGAATTTCATTGTCTTTTAGGTTCATTTGATAAATATGGAGTGACAGGCATGCTGCATGCATGTGCTTATATTTTCTTTGCTTTTGTGGCTTTTGATTCAGTTTCAACAGTAGCTCAAGAGGCAAAGTCACCACAGAGATCGCTGCCAATTGCCATTATTGGATCAACAATTGTTCCACTACTACTTTATATTGGAATTTGTACTGTTATGGTTGGACTCGTTCCATATAAGTTATGAGATACAGAAAGTCCTCTTTGTGAGGCAATGTAAGGCATTACTAATCTGTTAGTGAATATCACTGGTACTCATTGTAATTTTTATAGAAAAGCTACACCATACGGTCGTTGGTTTTTAATTGTTATGCATTTAGGCGTTATTGCTGGTCTTACAACTGTAGGATTGACGATAATGCTTTCGCAGACTCGAGTATTTTATGCAATGGCTCATGATGGTTTATTGCCATCATTTTTTACTAAAATTCATAAGGCCACTAAAACTCCTTGGATTTCAATAATAATTAATGGTGACTATTGTTTCCATACGATTTATAGAATAAAAGGTATCTCGATTTTTTAGGTATATTTTGTGCTGCTTTGTCTGGTATTTGCCCAGTAGATATTCTTGGCAAAACAACTGCAATTGGCGCTCTAATTACATATACTTTCGTACATATTACAGTCATAGTTGTAAGTTCAACTGATTCGTTTCCATATTCTGTTATCTGAAATGTCTTTTATAGATGCGCTTTACACATAGAGATATGCAACGAATATTTCAAGTGCCGTTTGGTTCATGGCTGATTCCGACTATAGATTTCTTACTTTGTATGATTCTTATGAAAGGTATAGCAGACACAACAGCTTATCGGTTTCTTGTGTGGACAGCATTAGGTCAACTTGTATATTTTTCCTATGGCTTTTGGCATTCTAAACGACGAAAATTAATGAAAGGTGAATATGTTGCAAATACGATCGATCTTGTGCCTACAATAGAAAGTATTATGGGACAATATACACAACATGGATTTGAATCGGATATAGCCAGTGATAATACTGAAAGCGCAGCATAATAAACTTTTTGTACTAATACTTGTAGATATCAATATAAAACAATTCAATTAAACAAAAAGTTAAATTGTAACATTTTTGCAATTCGATTTAATATAATAAATCGTTCATTATTAAGTATAGAATAGTTTATTGCAGTATTGGTTTCAAAGTACATAGTCTGTACTGTCTTCGAGAAGTATTGTTTATTAGAATTTTTGAATAGAATAATATTATTAGTTTTTTCATAAGTGCTTTTGTAAAAGTAAATTTTCTATTTGATTGATATAATCCATTGGACGAGCTCTTTTTGAAAATTGAATGTATTTGTTTTTATCTTCTCATTATTATTTTAGTAAATAAAAATATGATATCATGTTTTTGATACAAGAATGGATAGTTAAAACTTGCATTTTGAAATTCATAGTTATTAAATGTTCTTAAATGAAATCAATCGACATGAAACATGACCGATGTAAGATTTTCATTACAAAAAATATTATCTTCGGCAAGAACACAAATCAAAAATGGCACATTGAACGAAAGTGTGAGTTTGAGATATGGGTGTGGGTGTAGACAACTTTCGCCACACACCCCACCCACACCATCACCCACACCCACACCCACACCCAATATCATAACATTGCTTCTTTGAAATCTATGTTAGCTTCCTTGAAGTTCAAATTTCCATCTCCAACATCGAAAATTAGGATAGAACATTGATTCAATATTAAAAAGAAAAGAAAAAAACAGTGTAATCCAAATATACTATTAAATATTACATTCATCATTCTATCAGTATTCATTATCAATAGAAATATGTTTTAAAGAAATTGTGTTATTTTTTCTATTTAATTTATGTCCAAAGAGCATCATCTCGACTAGTATATTTATAAAACTTTCAACATAGAATCAAATAACAACATAATAAAAGCAATAAAATCTAACTCCACCACAAATACCATCCCGTGTGATGATTTTTGATAGTATAGTAATAAATTAATTGGTCACGGTCGATCATTCTTTGAATTTGCTCGCCTTCTTGGGTGGATATGTATCCAAAACGTAACCAGAAAAGATTTGGAAGATAACCTGATAATAAGAATTGTACAATTGATTCGTGTTGACGTCTGACAGTAATAATATCAAGATGTTCTAAGCGAGGACAAAGATGAACAAAAAATTGCATATATTCCAATGAACATTCATCATCGATGCATAATTCAGTAACTTTACTAGCCTTTGATATTGAAAAAACTTGATAGCTCTGTTTTTTTGATAAATGAAAGTCATCTGTTAATGACATACCGATTAAGGTTAATGATTGAATATTCAATGAATATCGTAATAATTTAATAAGTTTCTTAATAGTAAAATGAGGATCTCGAACTACTAAACAAGTAATTTGCATCAACGGAATAATACGATTAATATTGAGTATTGATCGACCATTACTTTCAATATCATTTTTAATTAGAGTTAGTTTAGTCACATTTGGAAAATGAATCAAATTATCATTCGGTATGGGATCGATACCAATTGTCAAATGAGAAGCTGAATTGATAGTCGTCTCATAGTTATCACAGCGATATAATTCATAAGATTTTCTTCTGAAATCGATAGAAAAAAAAATCAAAGTTTCAATTTAATCTACTCTATTAAATTATTTCACCTGTATGGATGAGTAGAATAAAATATTCCTGCAAAACGACCATAAGCACATGACCAATCTTTATATTGAAAAAACCATTGTCGATTTGTCCAAAATGATGATTTGAAACTATCTAATAAATGATCTGAGCTAATATACTCATCCAGAATATCATTTTTAGAAATCAAATACATAAAATCAAACATGTATAAATGAGGCATATGATTTATAATTAATTGTTTCCAACGATTAGCACAAAGAAATGTGGTGTTCCCGTGTATTGTTAAACGTAAACGTTGCAAATTATGAGAAATTTTAGATAAAAATTTTTCGATTTCATCGAATGAAACATCATTAAAAGTCAAGATGACATATGTCAAATAAGATGGCATGGATATTGGTTCATCTGTTTTATAATCGAATCCCAATCGAAATCGACATGATAAATATATCAATTGAGGCGTATATGTTAAAATTGGAGTAAGCTGATTGAGACACAAATCACCATCAATAATGAGATATTTAAGTGTTTGACATTGATATTTTTGATCATGATTACATGGTAAACATTTATTATTGAGATCTCCATAAAATGTTAATTTACAATATTTGATTATAGGTAAACGAAAAATACATTGAAGTATAGGATTTTCATCTGGATAATAAAGTGATAAAGTAATGGAAAGTGTAAAGAGACGTGGTAGTAATAAAAGAGAATTAAGAAGTTGAATGAGAAGATTGTACGATGTTATATGATCGAGAATGAGTGTTTCAAGATGAATAAACGAATGAATCGAGAACATATCGAAAAACAAATCGATGGCACAATGATTCGATAGAGAAAGTGAAACGATTTTATTCATATTTGGTTTGACAAGTTTTTCACATCGAAGAACAAAATTTCTCTTTGGTAACGATGGTAAATTAATTTTGAGACGAAAAATTTGACTATTAAATAGATATTGAAAGCGAATGTTCAATTGAACAAATGTTTTATAGATTTCCCAACTATCAAGATAATTAAATATTTCGTAAATCAATTCATTTGCAAGATCTTCAAAACGAGTAGAAGAAACTGAAAATTAAAAGAATTAGAAAACATTCATTCAAATTTAGTAAAAAAATCACTAACGAACCTAATTCGTTGTTTTTCATTTTGAATGTGTTCATGTTGTTTTTAGCCTTATAGTATTTCGACATTTATCTGAAATAGAACTGTACATTTTAAAAAAATGTTGAGGAGAGATCCAATGTAAAGAAGAGAAAATCGGAACAGTTCTTTGCTTCGTTCTTGATCTCAAATAAAAATTCAAATATACCCATGTAAAAAAAAACGGTCAAAAAATCAGATTAAATTTGATTTTCAAGAGAATAATCACAAAAGTCGATTAAAGATACCATTTTTGAATTAAAGGACGGTGGCGCATAAGACAGCATTTTGGCCCCTTTGATTATTACGACCAAACCTAATTAAATCATATATAGAATGAAAGAGCATGAACTCACGATCATTTTGATGCCAAATTTGGGGTGTTTTGAATGAGTTATAAGTGTAAACCGAATCTAGCTTTAGTACATGCGAAATGGGCGTTTCACCAGTAATCCTCGTCAACAGTGTGAGCGATCGTTTGAAACAAAACGAATTGAGTTGGATTCTGTTTACAAGTTATTCTGATAGGCCGTTGTCTAGACTACAATTTGATAATAGAACCGCTCATTTGAAACAACCTTTTTGGTTTTAAGAGATTGAATGCATATCTTACCTTAGAGAATTTTGACCTTATATTATGCATGCATATAACATTTGTCACTCGATTATTGCATCAATGAAACTGCGTTCAAACTTCGTTCACTTTCTGTTCGATAGAGATTTTAAAACACTATAAAACCAGCTATTTTTCAGGATTTAAAAACGTGGGCCCATAGGATAATTCTTAAGGCTACTGGTTTCACCCCCATGATTTTTAGCGTTTTTGATCTATTGTCGACGGTTTTCGCTTAGAATAGTCCGACTTTGTACCCAAAAATATGCCATATTCGTAATCGGCTCAAAAATCTGAGTCGAATGATATGTATTCCAAATTTTTCTTTCGACTTTTTTTTTTTGGTCATATTTTTAGCTGGGGTCCCCCTCATGGATTAGTGAAAAAATGAATTTCATTAAAACGTTGTTTTTATCATTTATTCACCTTCCATTTTGATTTCTATTACAGTCGAGTCCGCTTATAAGAGCGCAGTCGGGGTTTCTAAAAGAGGCTCTTATATCCGGACCGCTCCTTTATCCGAACTATATGTAAAACAGTGCAAAAATTGTTTCTTGTCAACATTTATTAAGTAGTACATAGACATACATAAATTTACTTAAAGAAATCCGTGATTTTACTTTGAGTACGATTAATTAAAGCGTTCTTTTCGATCATGTCTTCGATATCATAATATGAATTATACTCTGTAAAATTCTCTTCCAAATACTTGCGAACCATCGAAAGATGCATCAGTGCATCTTTATGAGAGACACCTGGCATCGGTTCATCAACAATTCCCGCTTCTTCTTCGTCTTCTTCTTCTAAAATATATATTACCTTTTGGATGGATGAATATCTGACCCCTTTATTGAAGAAACAGCAAGTGTATATACATAGGAGAGAGACAATAGATGGACTAGAGAAAAAGTCGAGAAGCTTCGTCCGACTATTTAGAAAATGAATAATAGGCAGAAAAAGACAATGGTTCTTCTTACTCAACAAAGACGTCAGTTCGGACAAGTGAGTAAGACGAAAAAGAGCATACGTGCAACAGATGAATAGAAAAAGAAAAGAACAAGAACATACAATATGGCTCTTTTATGCGGACTCAAATCGTAAAAAGGTGCCAAAACAAAGCTCTTATAAGCGAACCGCTCCTTTATCCGCAGCTCTCATAAGCGGACTTTGCCAGCACGTAAAACACAGGAGAAAAGAACGGGAAATTGGAAAACGGCTCTTAAAAGCGGACCGCTCCTTTATCCGGAGCTCTTATAAGTGGACTCGACTGTAATTTGCTGTTCGGTATTTTAACAAAAAAAACTGTTAAACTTTATAATATGAGCCTAAAATGCCGATTCATCTAACTTTTCAGGCCATAATATCAATGAATATGTGTCAGCTTTGAGACTGGTTTATTCTAAATTAGATAATAATTAAGAAAAACATACTTTGTTTCCAAGTTTAAGAATCATATGGTTATTCAGTCTCTTCAAAACATTCGCATTGAATAATATCAGAATAGTTCTCTCGCATACAAGATTTTTTTCCTCTTATAAAAATCGTGTCACTTTTGGCGATTAAGGGTGTGGGTGTGAATTGTAGAGTGTCTTGGATTCATACGCAGTGTCACTCACATCCACACCGCGTTTTGAGAAAAATACAAGGGGAAACAAGCGAACTTCTGTACTTCTGAAGTACAAAAGTACGAATAAGTACCAGAACTACAGAGAAGTACGATGATATTCCCTTGCCTGTAGTCAGGGTCTTAATCCCGAAATTGACTGTGTTTGCGTATTTGTGTATTTGTCCGCAGAGTAGTGATTCGAAGCTATGTCAGAACAAAAACGATCCTTTAGCGGTATCTCTAGGTCCTCAAGTGCTACAAGTAGCGTGGATCGAGGCGATCCACTAGGTTCCTTGACTGTACAAAGTCTTGTACCATATAGATGCCTGTTTCTCAACCACAGAAGCTGAGCTGAGATAGTTTACCCTTTTGTATGCTTAATATCGTCTGCTATGACATTTCGATTCATTTTCATTTTTTCCTCCTTCTTTTTCTTCTAGACTAATTTGTTCGTTTCTCTTTATACTACTGATTTCTTTGTGAGAAATATTTTCGTTGCAGTGTTTGCATGCATATTCTTTCTGTTCTCTGAATTCCATCGCATATATACTCATTATGATTTTTTTCATATCAAGGAAGAAACGGGAGAATGAGTAATAAAATATTTTTTATTAACGAGAGTCAAAGAAGAAGTAAATAACATCCATTTGTTTCGTTTCCTTCTATAAATGACAGCAAAAAGAAATTAGTATTTCTTTTTTTTTTCTTCTGCTTTGTTTATTTTGAAGGACCTAAGGATATCCCCATAACATAGGACTTGTAGATCTAAAGGTTACGCCCATAATACAGGGCTAGAGGACCTAAAGGTACCTCCCTAATGTAGGACTTGATGACCCAAGAGTATCTTCATAATATAGCCCTTGATGACCTAAAGGTACCCCCTAATATAGCATTTGAGGACCTAAGGATACCACTAAAGGATAGTTTTTGCTCTGACACAAATTCGAACTACTACTCTGTGGATAAACACACAAACACGCAAACACACAGTCAATTTCGAGATTAAGACCCTCACTACAGTCGAAGGAATTACTCGTAGATACCATAATACTAGGATTAATATATATAGTAAAAGTGTAAAAATATTTAATTCATTGTCAAAATACCAAAAATTGCCGTATAGAACGAAGAAGTACAAGAAATCCCAAGAAATCTCAAGAAGTCCCAAAAAGTACCAAGAAGTACACAAGTTCGCTTGTTCCCCCTTGGAAAAATATTAAGAGAGGGTCCGCCAGAATACCAGATAACATGGCCGGGGAAAAATTTTTGATTTTTGATTTGATCATCTGAAAAGAAAGGCCTTACAGACTTAGTACTAAGTCCAAAATATTAGCTTGATCTGACCATACCTTGCTGAGTTCTGAAGCGCACTTCGATAATAGGCCTTATAGACCTAGACAAAACATGGTCATTTTCGCGCTTTTAATGTGGTACAAAAGCATTCCACTATTTCGAGCATTAACATAGTAATGACTCTTGCAAAAAAAGAGCATTGTTTTTTCTATCAGACCATGCCTTTTCGGACTCTCCACAAACATTATTATGTGGACAAACAAGGGCCAACAAAGTATTTTTTAACAAAAAAATACTTCAATTTTTCACAGTATTTCGACCCTTTAGACCTCAAAATGAAGGTTCCCCATAAGTTTTATGATACCAGAAGATAGCCCGTGAAAAACTGCATCGTCTGATGTAAAAATATCTGAGAAAAACGATACTTGGCTGATTCAACTTTTTCAAACCAAAAGCACGACTACACATTCTTTTATGCTCATTATAGGGTACGCTAAAACGTTGTGTACCTTCGTTCTCCTCTATTTTATTCAGAACCGGAGCCATTTTTTCAGCATTAATAGTGATCCCTAAGATCGACAAAATTGTCAAGACAAGGACTTGCAAAAAAGCTGCCTTTTATATGTTATCTGGTACACATCATCCGCAATATGGAGAATGGTACCTTGTAGTGAACCATGTGTACTTTCGTTCTCCCCTATTTGATTTAGAACCGGAGCCATTTTTTCAGCATCAATAGCAATCACTAAGATCTGCAAAACTGTCAATACAAAGGCTTACAAAAAGGGTGTCTTCTATATGTTGTTTAGCACATACCACCCCCAATATAGAGAAAGGTACCTTATAGTGAACCAGGCGTACCTTCGTTCTGCGCTATTTGATTCAGAACCGGAGGGATTTTGTTTTCAGCATCAATAGTGATCACCAAGAGCTACTAAAGTGTTCAAATAAAAGGGTGCAGAAAAAAGTTGTCTTCATGTGTGTCAACTAGAAGATATTACCCGAAATAGATAAGACAATATTAGGGAATTTGGATTTATCGTCCATATGGACTATAATTTCATTTGATTCTTTTGAGACATGATCGAAGACATAGACGAATTCAGTATGATTCCTGGACGAGCATTATGATGTCGTAAAC